ACACACCTGGGAGCAATGAAACATCATGGGAAACACCTGGGACAAATTAAACATGGGAAAGGAAGGCACATGAGGAGCAAAACAACCACAAAACACGGAACAGAGTCTGACAGCGCTCTGCTGCCACACTGGAGCGCACTCGCCACCAACTGGACAGGGGTGGGAATTACAGTTATAAATTACAGTACAATCACCCTCACTGTAATCTGTCAAAGTGATGGACGGTCTTCAGGTTTTTCCGTCACTAATAAAAAAATTCTGTCAACGACGGAAAATTTTTGGTTAACGTGACCTCTGACATATATATATAGCAGTATTAAAATTATATAATGTTGTTTATTTCTTCATTAATTCATTTTAATTTATTATTTAATTTATTTCCATTAAAAAATCATATTATTTCAGGGGGCATTTACACAACACTGTTTTCAACTAAAACTGGAAAACTCTTTAATGCGTTTTGGCCGTTCAGTTACAAGATAATGTTTGATAGGCGTTTTGGGGACCTGAAAATGCAAACTTTTGTAAACAGTACCGTATTTGTAAAACATGAATATTAAAACGATGATGTCTTGCAAATGCATATAATACAGCGTTTTTAGTCATTTTCATGAGTCTGCGTGAACAGGGGGTTGTTTTGACAACAATGACGTTTGTATGTAAAAAAAACATGAAGGTACCCTCATTCAATCTACAATTGAAAGTGAATCAGACATTAAGAATGTACATTAAAATTGATGAATCACTTTTTAACTCTTTTGACACCTAGAAAAAGTGACGCTTAAAAAAGGTGTGCCTCTGCTTCTAATATCGGACAGGTACTGATAATCATCAAGCACTAATAATTGCGAGAAATGTTATGCATCCCGATAAATGCAAAGTTAAAGATAACAATGAATGATAACAATAAAAAAGGGAAAGGGGTTTGTAACGTTGTTGTACCGTAAGACATCCATGTTTGGCAGCTCTCGTCTGGCTGTGGAGAGCTGCTGCATTGACTCCTGATGGACGGCTCGAATGTTGTGTCCAACACACACGGTGTACTGCAGCGGCAGGCGCTCCATACTGGGCGGCGTCTGCAAACAGAACTGCTGTCTGCTCTCCATTCCTACATGAAGCGGGATGTTCGGGGCCACTAGAACTGACACACCTTTGAAAAAAAAAACACAACAACATTGGGTTACTAATGGTCAGTTTTGCAAATTTTAAATCCCCAGATAAATCAAGACTGAAGTTTTGTGGCTTTTAGTCCATGTCTGCTAACTGTGAGGTCGTTTATATGCTAGTGTACACCTAAAAGTTGGCAAAAATAACTTTGAGCAGATATAGGGCCAAATTAGCACGAGAGCACAAACCCATAAACAGTGTTGGGGGTAACGCATTACAAGTAATGCGAGTTACATAATCAGATTACTTTTTTCAAGTAACTAGTAAAGTAACGCATTACTTTTTAATTTACAAGAGAATATCTGAGTTACTTTTTCAAATAAGTAACGCAAGTTACTTTTTTTTTCCAATTTATTGATTGACAGCTCTCCTGTCCCCATGTTGAGAGAAATCAGAAGATGTTACTGTAGTTCTAAAATAAATATGAATATGCATTAATTCATCTCATTCACAAAAAAAAACACAGATTCAATATTCCTCAAAATGAATAAAAATAATGCAACTCAGAATATGACGCAAACCTGCAATAGTTAAATGTTAAACAACACAAATATCCTTTATGTCAAACAAGCAAGCCCTGTCCAGATTTAAATTACTTGCCATAAAAAGTAACTAAGTAACATAATTAGTAACTTTTTTATGGAGTAACGCAATATTGTAATGCATTACTTTTAAAAGTAACTTTCCCCAACACTGTGTATAAGACAAGTTTGTACAGTATGTAGTTGTAGTTTTTGCATCTTTTCTGCAAAGATATTTAACAAGTGATTTGTTTAACATTTACATCATGTTGAACTTTCCCCAACACTGCCCATAAAAGCATAAATGGGAGTGGAAAGTTCTGCAGTTGATCTACTGACAATTAATTAATCAAATTAAGGGGACAGCTCATGCAGAAATAATAATTACCCCGTCAACCTCACTCACCATCAAGCCATCATTGACTTTCTTCTTTCAGACAAATACAATCATAGTTTTAAAAAATATCTTGGTTATTCCAAGCTTTATAATGGCAGAATTTGTAATGCTTTTATCATGGTACGAATATGTGTACCGTTACACCCATAGTTAAAAATTTTTATTTTTGTAATTGATTCATTGATTCTAAGCTGAATTTTCAGCATTATTACGCTAGTCTTCTGTATCACACGATCCTTCAGAAATCATTCTAATATGCTGATGGTTCTTTTATGAATAGAAAGTTCAAAAGAACAGCATCCATTTAAAATCATATTTACTATCAGCTTGCACCAGTGCAAACCCTCATTTGGCGTTAAAAAACTACTGTCAAGTAAAAAAATATATATATTTTTGCGACACCTTACTGAATACGCATTTGTAGGAGTTTCCCTTTCGATTGGTAAATTTATGGGAGGAGAGTATTTAAATTAATCACGCAATGCGAATTACTAAGATTTGCACTTGTCAATTCACTGGTATTTGCGGCATTATTTAACACCCCAAAAAAGCATGTCTTAAAGTGCTCTAACGCTTATTTGCCGTTTAGTCAATTTGGCCCTAAATGTCTTTAATGTCACTTTTGATCAATTTAATGCCGCCTTGCTGAATAAGAGTATTCGTTTCATTTAAAAAGAAAAAAAAAACCTTTGAATGGTAGCGCATGTCTTCCTGTTTCAATAGGAAATACGAAATAGCTGTAATCGGAAATAACATGGTGAACAGTTCAGTCAATGAGGCTGACACTGCTGAGCCGTCAGGTGATTTCAGATCACACGTTAACTCCTGTAACTGCATTCGTGACTCTGTGTGAATGGCAGACACAGCATTAACGAAACCAAATACCATCTTTCGACCTGCTCCAGTAAAGCAGCCTTTACAGCCTGATGTACTGTATCATGGAAATTCCAAGACTGGGACGTTTGGAACAGGAAACACTGGGATTTATAATTGAATCTTTATATTTTCAAAGCTTCTTGAGAAGGTGGGTGGTATATGAGGGCTGCTTCTGATGTCTTTCTGCACCTGAAAAGTTGAGATTATGTGAAGCAGATAATGGTGTGCGCAGATGTAGCTGCCCTCCCTGGAATTCCTCCTGCTTCTCCGATTTCACCACCATGTCAATGTACCCCAGTGTCGACGCACACAGCACCATCCGTCCGAATGCCCCTCATCTCACCTAAACTCACACCACAACTTTAAAATGAGATTTTAAAATGAAACAATACATCTTTGGAAAAGTTTTCCAGCAACGAGCAGTGCATCGTTTCAGAAGTTCGGTCATTTTTTATTATTCAGATATGATGTAGTTCAAAAGAAATAGCCTGATAATCAGTTTGATTTAGTCATTTTTACTGATATTCGCCTTTTTTCAACTGTCTTTAAACTCAACGATAATTGGCACTGTTTCGTGGTTCTCTGTAGAACAGCACCAGCAATGATGACATTAAAGGGATAGTTCACCCAACAAATTAAAATTCTGTCATTAAAGGGGTCATATGATACGATTTCAAGTTTTCCTTTCTCTTTGGAGTGTTACAAGCTGTTCGTGAATAGATAAGATCCCTAAAGTTGCAAAGACTAAAGTCTCAAACCCAAAGAGATATTCTTTATAAAAGTTAAGACTCGTCCACGCCCTCCTAAAACGGATCGTTCTAACACGCCCCCACATGTCTACATCACTGTGTGGGAAGATTTGTATAACACTGCCCAAATGTTCACGCAAAGACAGAAGGCGTAACTTTGATTCTCGCTGTAGTATTGTTGCTGCCACCGCCATGTCGTGGAGACGCTGTGTGTTTCGTTGTGAAAGCGAAACTACTTTGTTTGGTCTTCCTAAAGAGTTGAACCTTAAACCGCATAAACACATTTCATTACACCAAATAATGTTATTTTTTAGCAACGTCATATGACCCCTTTAATTACTCACCCTCATGTCGTTCCAAACCCGTAAGACCTTCATTGATCTTCGGAGCACAAATTACGATATAGGTATATATATATAAAGATACATATAGGTTCCTGTGGCTCAGTGGTAGAGCATTGTGTTAGCAGCACAAAAGGTTGTGGGTTCGATTCCCATGGAACACACATACTGGTAAAATATGTATAGCCTGAATGCACTGTAAGTCGCTTTGGATAAAAGCGTCTGCTAAATGCATGAACATTCATGAGAGTACCACGACGCATGTGTGGCACTATTTTAATGATGTCCTTACTACCTTTCTGGGTCTTGAACGTAGTAGTTGCATTGCTGTCTATGGAGGGTCAGAAAGCTCTCGGATTTCATCAAAATGATCTTAATTTGTGTTCTCAAGATGAACAGAGGTCTTACAGGTTTGGAACGACATGAGGGTGAGTAATTAATGATGATGAAGATGAATGAAGGTCTTCATGAGGGAAAGTAATTAATGATTTTTGGGTGAACTATCCCTTTAACCCTGTAAAAATTACATACGAAATAACAAACCAAAAACTGGCAGTTTGGTGAACCTTTAGCCAGAATATAACAAAAGAAGCTTGCATATGTTTTTGTTGAGCATCAAATTTGATACATCAGGATTTTATGGCTCATATAGCATGATATAGTGAGAATATTGAGGTCAAACTTGAGGGAAAAAAAACAGAGGTCCAAACTGAGCAAAAATGCTATTTGGTGCAGATGCTGATATTTATAGGGCCAAAAAGTAAAATGAAATTCTGATAGCTTGTACTTCAATGAGATCTTTCAGAATAGCAGATGCTTACATAAAATGCATAGAAATATCAGTTGTCACTCTATATCTCCCAACATGGCTTAGTAAGATTATATTTAAATGCTCAGTTTTATGATCAAAGCTCTATAGTTTTAAAACATTTAATTCAATGCAATACATTGATGATTGAGAGATGAACAAATAAATGTTCCTCGAAAAGCCTGATGGATCATATTTGATACTCACATTTTAACATGATTTTCATCAAAAAGTACATTAAATACATTAATGTATGTATAATCAAGTAAGCCTTACTTCAAAGTTGCTTCAAAGTTCAAAGTTTCTTCAATCCAATAAGTGTTCATCTTGAAATATTACACAATATAAAAGGTCTTCCATTTACTTTCAGCAAGAATTTACAGCACAAAGACAAAACATGACCTGAGGGGGGATGTTTTTACAGTTACAGTATATTAAAAGGTCTTTTACTTGCTAGAAACAGTATAAACAATCATTCATATGACAGAAGGCATGTAGTAGATTGTGTACAAGTTTTTCAGCAAAGTTTTGATCATGTTGACAAACTAGATGCCTCAGCTTAACAGTTAGACATAGCATGTAAAATTGTGCATTATGTAAAACACATTTTTGACCATTTAGATTCCAAAACAAATTTGCATGTATAAAAATTTGGTATACGTTTGTAATTATTGTGGGGGATTCTGCATAACATTAGAAAAATATGTTTTTGCTGTGGACTTATTGTGAACAGACACTGTCAACTCATAACCTGTAAACCTTCTGCTCTCCCAGACTGGGCATAACTAACCCTTATCTAACATGCCACCCCACACACATTCCAAAATATTAAATTATCTAACAATAAACATTATATGAACCAAAATTAAGTAGTCAAAGTTTCTTAAAAAGAAAAATGCTAGAATAGATTTTAGGCTTGCCAAAATCAGCTGTCACTCAGTACAGGGAACCTAGTTTGGGAATGAATGCAAGTTTGTAGATGTCGGTAAACTTATATTTATCAAAAATTAAGGAAAATAAAAAAATGTTTGTTTGATGACTTGATGAATGCAGTCGACAAAACAATGAAATGTTGTTCTCGTTGTCTCGTTAGTTTCCTTTTCCCTTTTATTTTGAGAAACTTCTCTTAAATAAGATAGATTCTTTGGCAAACTTCACCATTTCCCTCGATTTATCACTGCAGATTAGACTTGGAGAGAAATGAAGGCTGCTGTCGTGGCTAGCGTTTATAAATAATAGTGTGTAAGGGTGTAACATCTATTAAATATCGCACCTGCTGTAGACTCTGCCA